TCCCCCCTCTCCGGACCTCTCCCCCCCCAAAGATTTACCCATACACTAGTATTGAAATAAAGAGCACATTTTATCTTAAACATATTGTTTCTTTCATTTCACAACTCACAAAAACACCACTGTAAACTATAAGTTTACTGAATATTACTACAAAAATATATATGTCACAGCTGTAATGTTCAAATTCCACATACACAGAACATCTGCAACATCACACAACAATCTCCCTTCCCCTGTTAAAACACACCTTCTCCAAAAAAACATCTCTACGCTCTACTTTCTTATCCATTGTACATCTCACAACACATTATTTATAGATCACATCCCATTACAACCGCCAGTAAATAATCCTTTTTACAGAGGCGAAAATGGCAGCTTTTTTTCAGAAAGCACTTGTTTAATGAATGAATGAATGATTCATTCAACTTGTACAGAAATACATTGTGTCGTCGGATCAATGGGTTAATTCCTGATTTAGGAAAGTAGAAGAGTTTTTGTATCTGTTCGTCCGGCATAATGGAATGTCCAGTTTCGGAGTAGCGACTTGGCGAACTTGGTACAGCTATTGATCCGAGGGTACTAAGCTCTAAGGTAGACAGTGCAGAAGTGTAGTCGGTGTATTGAGTTCCGAGAATGATCCTGCACGCTCTCCTTTGAAACCTTTCAAGTTTTGCTGTCTGGACGTTGTTCAGGGATGAGCGCCACGCCGGTGCGGCATACTCGAGCGCGGGTCTCACGTACGAGGTGTAGACTGTCTTGAGGTCTGGGACAAACGCACCAAACCGTTTCAGACGACGAAGTAGGTACATCAGAAGTTAACATGTTGGCGACTTATAGGTCCCACTTCAGATCGTTCTACACAGTCAGACCTAGGACAGTCAGACCTAGGACTAGGACTGTGTCAGACCTTGACCGTTAATACTAAGTGGTTCCGGTGGTGGTGGAGACTTGGAAAACACACTTGTATGGCTTTACATTTTTAGGGTTCATTGTCATTTTGTGGTCGGTAGCGCAGTCGTTTAACCCTCAACAGAACACCTTCCCGGACTGATTAATCTGTACACCTGGGGTCCGCGCGGACCCCAGAGCAGTTTTTTTGCTAATTTTTAGAAATTATCAACATGCTACCAGCTCAATTGTTTTGCAAACTGATGTGGGAACCTCTGTGTCCACATTACATACAAAAATCATACATTTTGAACTTTTTCTATTTTTTGGTGAAGAAAAGAAGACAAGAAGAAATACCCGATTTTTAAACCCATTTCAGACTGAAGGGGCTTTTGAGGCCCAACTTTGATCTCAGATAGCGGCTAAACGGCTTGCGCTAGAAGTATCAAATTTGGAGACCTTTCCTAAAATGTCTCTGGAAAAAAGTTCATATTAGTTTTATACTAGTAAGTTGATTTTTTTTGTGTTGTCATGGCAACGGGTAGTTTTTTTTGAAAATAGAAGTAATTTTGGTTTAAACATAAACATTTTCTGAGTTTTATATAAAATTACACTTCTTTTCCAACATTTATAACATCTTACGTAATTAAATATAAGTTAAATCATTTAATATGCATAGAATATGCTAATTTGATGACGTCATTGGTCAAAATCCAATATGGCGGACTATATTATTAGCTCTGACGTCATATGACGTCATAATTACACCAAAGTTATTAAAATTTAATTCTATTACTACACCATTCTCTGAAAACTTGGTAGACATACGATGAATGCATAAAACATATAAAAACGGAAATAAGGTAATGTATAAGAACGCCAGTGTATCCATTATGATCGAAAGCCGGCTGGGGTCCGCGCGGACCCCAAAAGAAAATCAGATATAATTTTTTTATAAATGGTAGAAACGGAGTTTTCTGCACTGTAT